ACTCTCTTGGTTTTATTCAATACTGCCATATCCAACATGGTATAAGACACCATCGAAAAGTTGCGTGCGATTGATCATTGATACATTTCTTGCAGGTGCTCTTTCGGAACAATTTTGCATTGTCTCGGGACATTACGGGCCTTTTCCAGTCCTTCCAGTCTTCATCTACGGTTCTCGATCCTGCCGCTAATCCCTCGCTCTTTCAGTCAACACTGGTCATCGTAATAAAGGTACGAAACAGCTATTCAAATTCAATGTCCCTTCGGATCTGATAAATCTATCGCAGGACGTCACAGACATAGACAAGGGAGAGATTGTCAAAGAGTATGTTGTTATTTGACTCTATAAATATCGGTCTTGATCACCCTACTATGAAGGTTTTCCACGAAGTTTCAGGTTTGTTGACTTCCGAAAATCTGTTGTTACTTTCTGACGGTACATTGCGCCACTAGCAAATTGTTCAGGATGAACAGGATGCGAACTTCATTTCCCGACTCCATTCCGGAAGGTTGAATATCGTTCCATGGCCAATCATCGAGTCAAAGAGTTTCTATAGCTTGTTTTCTGCCCTACGAAGGCGACTGGACCAACAAGTTCTCACACATCCAGCTGCGGGTGAATTTCTGCTTACGCTGAAGACATTGATGGCAAAGCTCAAGGTTGGTGTCAACTGCCATACGTCCCAGTTTTCTGAGGTACATTTCGTCCATCTAGGCGAATGATTGGGGTGCCATGTCACGTGAGCATATTTACACCACAAAACATTTAAGAAACTGAATCTTAATTAAGAGAGCCTCGTTGCTCACCGTGCGCAACGATTGTTAACAATGCTACCTAACGCATTGGTGTACGGCTATACTGAGATAGAACCAGAAGCCGAGCCATTGAAGGTAAGACTTTTCCATACTTATGGACATCATGTTGAATTGGTCGTAGAATTTCGACACTAATATCTTAATTGATGGCGAAGACAGCGATGCCCGCTTTTTCCTCGACCTTTCCGGCAAGCCATCAGCGGAACGCGAGTTGGCCTTGAAGCGATTGCGTTGCACGTGGCAGTACAAGTTTAACCGACAAGAAGTACCTGACAGCGATTGGGCTGACGCATTAGAGCAGCATCTGCAGAGACTCGCTGATGCAAGGATCGATCGTGTTCAAGCGTGGATCAAGTCAAACTTATCTCGCTTTACCGCCACGCACGCAACAATCACGGAATTAAATCGCGAGTTCGATAATGCGCAGGTTGATTTGAGGTCAAGTGTAGCCCTGTGTAGGATGAAGTGTTCATCCTGCAATCTTCTATGTGTTGACAGTCGACGACATGACCCTGATATGCCCCACAACTGTCAAACATCTCACCAGTGCACCAAGCCATGCGAATTCATGGATGAGCATACCGATGAACCAAAACTTTGTGGATTCCCGTATGTGATTACCCGGCGCCTTGCTATTTTTCGTTCTCACATCTTCTCCACGTCCAGTGCCGCTCACACCGGCAAGCATGTGTCAGTTTTGTGATCTGTTCTATACGCGTATACTGAATGCATATCAGATGCACCGTCGACACCCATTTGTGCGGCCAGCCCTGTCTTTTGTCCGGGAAGATTGGATGTCTAGGCGAGTGTACGAAGGTACTGTCCAATTACATACATACCTTTACTATTCCTGAGATATACTTCTCAGATGGTAGATCATCTTGATGATCACATGTGCTCGGCTCGAAACCATGCCTGCGGTCAGGTCAGTATCCGTGTCTTGTGTTAGACTTACTGACTTCAATAAAATTCAGCCTTGCCAACTGGAAAATGTAAGGGCGAACAACGGACAGTCTTTCAGCTGCAAAGGGAAGTGCGTGATCCCCAGGTACGTATTGTTGACGTTTCAACCAAACTCTGATGGTCATTCCCATCCAGTTCTGAAGAACATGAAATTCATGTATGCGACAATCGTATGTGCCCAATTCCCTGTGAGCTTTGCAAACGTCTGTGCTCCGACCCCAACCACCTACACGGACTGGATGTGCAAGCGATACATCTCTGCGGGTTAGCCCTCTTTTTCTCTCAGGTTCATTTCTTATGATCCTCGTCTAGCCAAGAACATCCTTGCCCTGGTGTATGTGCGGCCCACGGAAGTTGTGAGATCGACACAGCTCCCCAATCTATCAAAGCGACGTTCACTGGCCGGCATGAAACATTTGAGTACACCAAGGTAGGTCCACATAAATTGCATAATGGATAGAGTAACGCCTGACTTTTTTATCATCTAGTATTCGCAAGGTACGTTTACTGGTTACGCTGACAAGATAGTGACTTCATCTAGAGCATTATAGTCGCAAAAAGGCTCCCTTGCGCAATTCCTATTCCACCGGGCAGCCAACAACATGAGGGGTCTCACATCCATAGCACAGATCCGAACCCTTTCCACTTTTGTGAATCACGGTACGTTGCAATTCGGATAACCGGATTTTGACCTCCGTTGACACCTTAATTCTAGTTGTAATTATTGTGGCTATTACTGCACCTTACCTTTGGGTACATACAAGGGACCGATATAATCACTATAAAAGACTAACCGTTTTCTGGTAGGACATGTCCAACAAGAACACGAGACAAGTCATGGTTCCATGTCCAAGACTCGCTGGGCTGTTGATGGACCTGCTGGCACCTCTATAGAAATCAATGGTCATAAATTCGGAACTGAGGATGACGGCGCGCCGATGATGTGTAACCTGGTCTGCCAAGATATGGGAAGACATGCTCATGTGGACTATTGTCGGGCGGATGCACAGACAATAGCGACTTGTGGTTCCGCCGAAATCCAACACGTCAGAGAACGATTGAGACCTAATCCAGACCGGCCAAAGGACTTTATCACGCATTCCTTGTTTTGGAGACGATCCGGTACGTATACCCGGCGACATTAAGCAACGTACAATTGATATTTAGCTGACGGATATTTGGTTCTAGGCTTCAAAGGTTTTTTCGATATCATCCTTCTGCTCCTCTTTCTTACGCCGCCTATATAGACCCGTATTCTCGCGATGACAAGACTAATTTTGCAAAATGGTGCGCCATATCTGCTTTTGTAATGACTCTGCCTGATAACTGCTTTCAGCGACGCCATGTGTCCTGGTAAAATGGACTGGTACCTGACATTGGCGTTAGCTTACCGTCATTTTAGGTCCCGAACATGCTGGAAACGCAGCGAATCCTGCTCAACCGTCCTACTGTACTTTGTCTCTATTTCACCCACCCGAGACATCGAATCAACGAGTGGGGCTGGGATATCTGTCCAATGACGGCCATGTTTTTTCTTGTAAAAACCCAGCTGTCTTGCAACAAGCTTTTCACGTGTGAGTTGAACGACTACATTATATTCTATGCAGCCTCTAACCTATCACCCAGGATGTTTGTCATTGATAGGTTCGCGCCTGTGTGTTTGGGTAACAGTTGTATTCACTGATTTATGTAGGTCGGGTTCCATGGCCTCAACAGACCGTCGACCATTACAAAATACCCCTGTCACCACGAATATCCAGCGTGCATCCAACAACAGACTCGGAGCTGTGTACTCAGCTCTTCATGCCTTTTGGATGTCCCGACAAGCTGCAGTTGCCGCCAATCGTCAGACTCGAGTTGCAAACCGAAGGGATTCCTACAGCGTTGTCCTTTTCGACCATGAACTTGTTCGGGGTGTCACAAATGACTTCACAAGCTCGCCTGAAGACCTCTTGAATGGTCTTCTACAACACCAAGCCCGAGGTGGAACTAACTATGACCTGGCATTGATTGATGCTCGAAATGTCATGACCGCCAACTGGAGCCCTGAAAGGTACGCTCGCAACTGCCAGAGATAATTGTTGTAGTACTCAAACGGTGTATACAGAATTCCTGTCGTCATCTTTCTGTCTGATGGTGAATGTTCTGTTCGAGATGAATCTGTTCAAGACCTTTGCCGTGCAGCCATTGCATTAGGGTTAGGCACACACTCTCTATGAATATAACTATCGGTCTAAATTTCTTTCGTAGGAAACCTTTATCTCTGCACACTGTCTCGTTTGGGCCAAGAAATACGGTCTTACGGCGTATGACCCAAATAGCTCTCGGAATACAGAACGGTGCGCCGCCAGACCCCAATGCGCCAGCAGCAGCTAGGATTGACTCGTCATACGCCGAAGCCTTGGATAGTGTACGTCGTAGTTCCATCTCGTGTTTGACTGCATCTGAGTGTCCTTTCAGGTCCGTCTGGCTGAAACATTTCTCGGAATTGCAGAGTCGTTGAGGAAACCAAGGGGATCACTCCTGCATTGATCGTTGTCCCTGTTTTACCAATGCTGTTGTTTAAGTTGCTCTTTTACGTATGCCGATGCTTGGTATTATGCACGAACCGTTATAACATATAACATGATATAGATCTTATTCGTGAAAGCTTGACAGGTAGTAACATTTTAGATGACTGTTAACGAAGCAGCAGGACAGTTACAACATGCCAATCATCGACTGCGCCACCACCCCTGCGTAGGATAAGCTAAGTATCGCCTGAGAGGGAATGATAGGAAGTGTACACTGGATGCGTGGTAAATACCTCCATATTCGGTGGGTTGTCTGACACTTGGGCTTTGCAGTTGGGGAATCGAACAGCCGAAGGGGACGTGGGGAGGGTCGACTTGTAGAGGTCCTAGAGTCGGGATACAAGTTTGGTAGCGCGTTGAGGTACTCTGACGACGCGATCAATATTGGCAAATTAATACTTTGGGGATCGGGACATGGTATCTGTACGTGTGTGGAATAAGTACTAACGGCGCAGAAAACACTGGCTGTTTCCTTTTTAGGGACCGCTCGCCAGTGCGACTACTACTACTATAATCTATAGACGGCTAGTAGGACTGGTAACTTGGTTCACCTTGAAAGCACATAGGTATAAAGGCAGCTACGAAGGTAAGTAGGGATTTGTTAAGACCATGTCTGATAGTTACCAGGTCTAGATAACTACTTGGAAGTGGCCTGATGGTCTAGTAGTATGATTCCTTGTTAGGGTTATTCGACCAATTCGAGGAGGTCCCGGGTTCAATTCCCGGTCAGGCCCAGACAGATCTTTTTGTCTTCGCATCAATTTTATTATTTCAGCCCTCATTGCTCAAGCATCAGTGCTCACTGCTAACTGCTCATGGAACACGACTGTGACTGGAGCTTCACCACTGACTACTATAGACTGGGCTGTTTGCGTTCAACGTTCAAGGTGGAGGGGGACGGTACCCTAACCAGCCCTCAGGCTCCGCTGCTGTCGCCTGAAGATCTCGTGTCCCATAAATTTATGTTTGAATTTCTTAGGCCTTGCAGCCACTGCGGTGGAGATGCAGTTATAGACGCAAGTTTGTATGAAAAAAACAGTTTAGAGTACTGAAACCTGTCAAACACCATAAACTCTTTTAGCACCCTCCCTTCCTCCAGTCAACACTCCCTTCGTGTCCCATGCATCACCCAAGACAGACGCGACGTACTGAGCCGTAAAGGGAATCATTAACGAGTGACTCAACGGAAGCCGAGTCTGCTTCGTAAAATCGGGTCAGCGAGCAGGGCGGGGTAGACATTCGAAGGGACCATGTACGGCGCGTCTGTTTCCAGGACTATACGAAAAGTACCCGGGGATCTCACCATCTGACCCAGCAATTCCGCCGTATTTAAATTGGTCGAGAACGTCTACATCAATGATCGTCTCGACACCTCACCGGTCGCCCTTTATAGATGCCTCGGACGAGTTCGAATATGCTTGAATACCATCCAGAGGGGTAGCTCGACCGGTATGCCGCAAATGTCAAGACAAGATGCGTATGAGTGTCGATGATGGCAGGGTCTGAAACACTTGGATGAGTTGGAAACGCACACGTGAACGTGTCATGCGAAGGAAGGATGATCGATGATCCTTGGTATCGGTTGTTCTTGCTGGAACTCATGACGGAGTGTGAAGGTCAAGAGAAGGTTATTGATGATCTCGGTATTCCAGCTATTTGAGAGAGAAAATAGGTATTCTCATGACTCCAGAAACGGCACCGGTCACAGGTCTACAAGAGACATTTCTCAAACACGAGTCATTCTCAGCCTCTCTACGGAGGTCAACCGCCTTTGCCATGATACACGCAAAACAAGATCCGAAAACGTACTTAGTCGATACAAAAACAGACGAGGATAAAAACAACACTTTGAACCATCGAAAAGAAATATTAAATCCACAGAGTTCAGGGTTAGCGTGACACTCTCGCGCCAGGACCATACTGTTCCCCGGCCCTTCGTTCCATTAGATCCCGAAGAGGCCCAAGAAGCCGAGTGAAAGCCTGCGCATCCAAAGCCGCCACCTTGAGCTTTGGAAGAGTCTGATCGTCCCGGGTGATTGCACTGACAGTTGCAGCGCGAGGTGCCAGGTGCAGAAGCGACAACTCTGTTTACAGTGTTAATGTAATCTTCAATGGAACGTAGAGAGAAGAACATCTCACCTCCAAAGTAATCTCCCTTCTTCAAATGTCCCACTTGAAATTCGCGAACTTGGCCGTCATAAGCATCCTGCGACTTTGTCACAACGGCTTCACCCTCCTCGATGAAAAAGAACGTGTCTCCCATCTCTCCCTGCCTTACAACAGCCTCCCCGTCCGCGTACATCTTGCTGACCAGCGCATCGGCGATTTTACTGCGCTCGGCAGCGTCTAAGGATGACAAGAGGGCCACAGACGATAAAAAGTGCTCATACATCATGCGTCGCCGATGAGCCGCCTTCAAGATGATTGTCCGGAAGGTGATGCGGTCCAATGCCCACAGGGTAGAAGGCTCAGTAGACAAGACTGTCGCGGCACGAGGATGGCCGTACATCAATGCCAGCTCTCCAAACGAAGTCCCCGGCGTGCACTCTGCTACACGTTTCCCAAACTCAGGGTGGTACCCAGGCTGGAGGAACTTGTCTTCTGAGGTACGAAGTCGTGCTGGGGGTAAAGGGTCCGACCGGATGAAGCACTCAAGCAGGCCCGACTCGACGACATAAAAGTAGTCGCCCACATCGCCCTGGCGAATAACAACCTCGCCTTTCTCCGTCTTCTTTTCCTGCATGGCATCAAGCACGCCCGTTGCCTGCTCCTCGTCAAGATCGCGGAAGATAAAATTGTTGGCGATGGATGCCTTGATGCGACGAAGCTGGTCGGGCGTCTTGGGGTATATAGGAAGCGGCTCGTCTGCAGAGCCGTCAACAGGGATAGACTCTGCTGAGACGGAAGTACGCCGTTGGAAGATGGTAGGAACGGGCGGATGTAGGTAGTCGCCTGGATTTGTGGGTTGAGCGACGGCGCCGTCGTCGAACTGTGCGAAGGGGTTTGGCATCGGTGTCGATAAGGGGGAGGTCGGGACCGTATTGAACTGGACGATGGGCGAATTGTTGGCGAGCAGAGCATTGCCGGGAACGTTGAGGGTGCCAAATGGCCCGAAAGATACGCTGTTCCTGCCAGCGAGCGACGAGCGGGGCGCTGTGTCGAGTGGAGAGACTGCTTCTGGGCTCTGCCCAGAACTAAAAGCCGTGTCGACGTACAGCTCGCTAGGCAGTTCACGCGAAAATGCGCGCGAACGACGAGACAGAGCATCCCTGGTCCGTGCTCGCTGCTCTTCCAGCCGCTGTTGGAACCAATTTGCACAGAACTGCAGCGCGTCGCTGGGCTGCACGCGCTTGGCGTCCCGTGTCAGGTCGTCGATGAGCTGGTCGAACGTCGACATCGACGGTGTAAAACAAGTTTCCCTTTATGATGGTACAATGCAATTTCGCCGCCCCGACATCACTCGAAGTGACTAAATGGGTGCGATTTTGCTCAGGGAAAGGGTGTAAGATGAAAAAGGTAATTGTGTTTGTATTTTAATATTTTATACTTTCCTGGGCCCATAAAATTAATCGAGTAGCCAAGCTTCTCAGTTGATAGTGGCTCTCAGTTAAAATCTAGATGGTTAATACAAAGTCGTCGTCGTACAAAGCAATATCTACTGACAGCAGGGTCAACCAAGTGTCGACGCTCAAACGGTTCAAAAAGTGTGTTGTTACATCCGTCACGGTTTCTATTTGTCTCAAATTTTATCTCACAAGTTTCTCAATGCCCACAGGAATCTAAAATTCACATCAGCAACCACAAATGTGCAAGAAAAAGAATAGAACGAACCTGCCATCCATGAGCAGCAGCAGCTCTCTTGTATCCCTCCAACGCCTCATACACTTGGTACTCACGTTGCCAATCTTTAGCGAGCCTCGCTGGGCGAGGATCTAAATTCGATATAGCCAACTTTATCTGCATAATAACCGCAGGAATACTCGAGGATAGTTAGCAAACAGGAACACAAAAAGACGCAAATTTTTACCTGTAGCTAGGCAACCAACCTAAAACAAAATGTTAAGCAGACAAACAGCAAAAAGGCCCATTGAACACACCATCGGAAGTCAGCAAATCCATGCAGATAGACCCTCCTCCAGTGACATGGCCTCCTCCCCCATGAATGAAAGGCAAGAACCGCGGCTGTAAGAATCCTGAAAAAAGGCGGGGCCAACGGGAAGCTTGGAGGGAACCGTATCTCAAAGATGATCGAATTCACTCCACTACAACGTCATCAATTTCAGTAAATAACAAGAGAAACTAAAAAGACGTACGCCGTCTTTAAATCCTTCGCGATCGGTAGGCTCGGATCGAACGAGTGCATCTCCACAATCCACTGGAACAAATTATCGCCAATAAACTCTGGCGGCATGTACCATCCCAGCTCTCGCAGACTGTTCGCAGCTTCCTGTTCCTTCAGCATCGATCTTAGCTCCCGCTGGACGGCCATGGTCGCAGACCGCGCAGAGTCAGTGGGCGGTGGCATTAGTTTGTCGAGGACAAAGCTGACCCATTTAGGGTCGTGCTTCCAGTCATCTACTGGTTTGGCTTTCTTTTTGCTACTGGATGCAGCAGGAGCCGGTGCTTTGCCTTTCCCCTTCGGATCAGATATAATCATGACTTCGTCGTCGTCGTAGAATTCATGGCCATCATCATCATCATCATCGACAATGAGCGTCTCCCTCTCAACAGTGGTTAAAAATCCGCTGGTCTTCTCCATCGGGGTCTTGCACAACTAGATCACGCTGACGGTCCTGAAGCAATAACTTGATGGTATACCCAGGTTCGGGAATAGAGATTTTGTTGTTGCTCAATGTCAGCGGATGCCTAGGATCCAGCTTTACGAATGGTATGGTCTTATCCACAGCTGGGGTAGTGGAGGTCGCGTCGGCTGGACACTTGACTAAGAGGTACCGGCTGCGAAATTTTCAGTTTTCGAACTGGAGTCGAACTTGAACACTTACCAGACAATCCAAGTGGTATCTGCGATAACAAAGTACGGATTCGAACTAACAAACTTTTCGGGCAAGTTGACTACCTCCGCTAAGGCCACACAAGCATTGGGACAGATTTTGCTCTTGCGCCACATCGTGGAGTTACCGCCCGCATAATGTCCCATAGAGATCTGCCCGTCTTTAGCAAGGTAGACACCTGTAAATGGACGGACAAGGTGAGCGACGAGCAATGTGGAAACCATGATAAACATACCGTGCCCAAAGGCCCGCCCGTTGGCCACTTCCTTGTACCACAGTCCATGGCGAATAATCTATGACAAATATGGCCAGAGTCATGAAAGTAGAAAATCGAAAGCCAGAGGACTGACCGAGTGCCAGTTTCGCAAAGAAGAGCCATGGAACGCCTTCACGTACAAAATAAGCGACAAATACACAGCTTATAGCGATAGAAACACTAACAAAAAGTGAAGGATACTTCGCGGCGTTCACATTCGATGCCTGAGACTGAGCGACAGCAGCCTGAAACTTAGCTTCTGCGTCTGGAGCCCCGACACTGAAACGGAACTGGCGCCACGATGGATCTAAACGCCCTCTTAGCTAAAATGTATTGCGCACCAAGTGGAACAAACCAAACCCAAATTCGTTACCAACTCAGCTCCCGAGGTGATGGGTTCAAGATATGCAGTGCAAGACGCCACACACCTAAGTTCAAAGTGGTCATTCATATGTGGACACGCATG